TCAGGGCGACGCTTTCTGTTTATTTTCATGTAACATACAACCCCCGAATCCGCGCTTTTGTGGTTACAGCAGAACGATAAGACGGAATAGTGCGACATCGACATCGAAGTCTTGCCCTCTGCATTAGAGCACGAATCAAACGTCAGAGTCTTGTTGTCGGCCGCCGTCGCAACAGTAGTGAGACACGAATCGGACATCGAAGTATGGGTGTTGGTCTTCTGTGACGAGTTTAAGCTCTTTTTCCGAAGATGTCACGTAAATGTTCGGGTGGAGATGACTGCTGGAGGGAAATGCTGAGACCAGTTTCGTTTGCCTCTTTGGCTGCCTGGCCGGGGGCTGGGGGACTGGGAAGCGCAAAAAAACCGATCTAATGAACCTCGTCCGGGATGAAGCCCGAGGTGCACGCAGGGGGGAGGGAAGGCGAAGCTTGCTATTTTCTTTTTGGCACGTTTTGCTTCCCTCCCCCTTGCGTGAATTGAAGTTCTCCTTGCTATCCAGCCAGGAGCCACAACAAGGCATTTCCAGCACTAAACGTGTACCACAACAATTCACAATCCAGCAATAGGCAGCTTCTGCGCGCAAGCAGCTCTCCGGCACAATCTCCCTTAAACCCCTGCCGTTCCAAGGGGAGAAAGCTACCGCGGGACACAAACGCAGATCCCACTAGCGGCCCCAACTCGGCAGCAAAAGTTTGGCTGCGACAAGATTGGGAGGACATGTCTCAGGTACCGCGAAAAGAGTCAGCTGTGGGTGCAGCCAGAGCGGCGCGGGCAAACCTATGCCTCTACTACTACTACTACTACTACTACTGCTACTGCCAGTGTCCCACCTCCATGCATTATTCCCAGGTTCTGCCTGCTTGCATCAGGACTTGTGCAATCGCAGAATGAGTGGAACCGCACGGCCATTAAGCCTGTTCTGTTCCTGCTTGTTCTCTCGAAATAGCCGTTAGATGGCAAGTCGTCATCACTCTCGTCATCAGCTGCTACATGCGCTCAAGAACCCTGAGATAGGCGTCCGATCACTACCCCAATCAACAGTTCCAGACCCGGCTTAGGCTTAGTCAGCCTGCCCTGCTCTGTATCGAAACAAGTTTAAGCCCTAAAACGACTTTGGGGTCGAACTCCGCGTCCGTTGGTCTTCGACTCTTCGACTGCCTGCTATCTGCTGGCTCTCCCATGTCTTCCCTCTCTTGCCATGCGGTCCTCCCGCGAAAGGTTATTTCGGCGCCACCAGCAAGGTCCATGCAGTATGCTTGGTGCTGCCTGCGCTACCCGCTGCGACTATCATGCAGAAATCCGTCATGTCTCAGATGGACAGGCTTCGACCAGTCGGTCTTCAACTTTGCAGTTTCTTTCGTCGTCAAGACATTGCGGCCTAGCGGCAGTCGATTTAAACGGCGAATGCCACTGAGTGACAAGGGCAGCGCGTCTCAATTGCTCCATCTGGCAGCCATGCGCTTGCTGCCGACTATATGAGCCAGTGTCATGCGCGTAACACGACGAGTGATGACAACATGCCTGGTCTCTTGCCCTGCCTCCGCGTCCAAGGCCTTGCAGCTCAAATGTGCTGGTGCTGCGCCTTCAAACCGCCGCACGAAGTCTTGCACGCAGCGGTGCGGAACCTTGTCTGTCTGCGTAGATCAACTGCTGCATACTGCTGCAGTGTGGAGGTCATGAGGGCTCGTTTTCAAGCATGCACTTCAACACCCCAGTGTGTCAGGAGGAATCATGGAAACATACACAGCCGCGACAGCGAACTGAATGGCATGAGGCCTCACACCTCCCTGTACCTCTGCCATCACACTGCCACGCAACAGGAGCACGGGCTGCAGCAATCATTCTTGCCCAGTCTGTACTGGCAAGGAAACATCTTATGAGTTTGATCCACAAATGCCACGCCCACAAACACGTGCATACTTCCTCTTTGTGTTCTTTGCAACTCGCGACAGGAATTCGTTTGAAAGGTTACTGCCTAATGCGACGTGATTCCATTGCATCGTGCGCCTGGACGAAAACCCGTCCTGTCACCTCAGTTCGGGATGGCTGAAACAATTTAAGCGAGCAAGACAACAGACACTGCAAGCATGCTGCGGCCGAAAAGAGCATCCGATCCAATGTCTCAGTGCATCCTCTTTTGTTTGCATGCATGCGCATTCCAGCAAAGCACTTTCGTGCTTGCACCTCGTCACCTCGTGTCGGCTGCGCACTCATTGACGAAGGGCGGCATGAGTGCCACGCTCATCTATACTTTATTATCAAGAGGCAAACTCGTCCAGCACATGCGCGAAGATGCATTCATGATAAGCCTACCAGCCTACCGCATGGTACGCACTGATGCCGCCCCTGTGCGTGGCCAGGTCAGAAGATAGCTCTTGAAGCTGCACGGAACCTGCCCAGGAGACTCGACTAAGGCCTAAAACCGATGTCTTCAATGAGGCAGCTGCGAGCCTCATGCATCCTGCTCTTCTTGCTCAGTCTGCAGCTCTTTCAGCTGCTGCGTCAGGCTGGCAACCTGAAATTTGCTGGGAGGTAGAAGTGGCCTGCAGAGTGGCGCCCGAGACAGGTGCCTTGGCTTCAAGTTCAGCATTCTGTCGCCTGAGTTCGTCGTTGTCTGCACGTAGCTCCTCCACATCCACACCTGCATCTCTCTCTTCTTCCACACAGCCAAAGAGGAAGGCAAGTCGCACTCTCCTGCGCGCGAGCGCGCCCTGGTCTCCAGTGTCTCTGTATGATATGCTCTCTCGCTCTCGGCGGGCATCCTAATGGTCCCACAGCATGAGGCAGCATGCAATGCCACACCTCCGTCATCCCGAGCCAGTCTATGGGAACACATTACTGCCGGGCCTGTCGGGGCTCCCAAGTACTTTTTGATGTAGTCGATGGCCTTGGCACGTGAACACGACTCACCGGGCCAGTCACAATGGTGAGTGGCAATGTGCAAATGTCTTCTCCTGCCAAGCTGCGTTTGCTGGTCTCTCAGGTTCCTCGTAGAGGCCGACAAGAACTCGTGTAAGCTGTGAGATGATGCCATTCTTCCTGAGTTCGCCAAGGATTGTCTGTAACCGACTGAGGCAGATCCATTCGCTGCTACACTGCTTCACTCCGCACGACATAATCGCATCATGGATGTATAGAAAAAACGACAACAAACGAACGACAAGAAGATCGGACTCAGGATCGAATTTCAACGAACACTGACATCCTGAACTGCAATAACCTCCATCACTTGGTTTAAGTCAGTCAGAGCTGCTCCAAGTACTTGCGGAATTCTTCCTTTTGCGAATCAGCTGTCTCGTAGCTCATGGCTTTCAAGCTAGTCCCTTTTGCGTAGCTTCCAGTCCCGCAAGCAGGCATACGGCTTGGGCCGTGACACAAATGAACAGACTGAGCACGGCATGACATGCATGAACAAAGAGCATGTCAAGAAGGCAGGAACCTCTTGCGAAGGTAGCCGAAGCTCTAGGTCCTAGGCAAGCATGCATGGCTCAGTGAAGCACTCATCCTGACGCACTCAGCACCGCACCATCACAGGACCAGTCAGCGATCCACCAGATTTGGAAGCACAAAGCGATTCTGAAGCCCTGCGTGCATGAAGCCGCCCGGCAGTTCATATCACGTTATGCACTCATATAACATAACTCATGCGGCAAAATCGCTAGGGCTCTCTAGGTTGCAGACGTAGGGTCGCCCAGCAACGCTTCTACCGACACCTGCGCAGCGCCTGGCATGTTGGTATCCACGCGACGTGTGTAGCACACAGCATGTCCTGAAGTGGAGGGAGGGCTTATGTGCTCTCCCAGCCCCGGCTGAAAGGTATGCCATGGCCGCCGCAGAAGGTCGGGCGTCCGATCACGTTGCCTTCCATGACCTGAACGGCACAATCGCTTCTGGCAAGCCGTAAATGCATGGCACTGGCCACCTGGAACTCCACAGCCGCTGCTGAGCCCATTTTGAAAGGCTGCCCTCGGCAAGTATGATCCTCAGGAATAGGCTGGCAGCCCGGAATTATCCGACTCTAAGCAGGCAATTGGAGACTTAGGGCTCACCCAGTGTGGATGCATGTCAGCATTCCAGTCTGTGCGTGTCCGGGAAATCTCTTTCCTGGCCTTGACACCGAGACATTGCCGCAGTACAGTAAACCTCCTCACGATCTGAGAAGCCAGCTCCATCGCTCTCGATGAAAGCTACGACGGTAAAGGGGTCCATCTTGCCATAAGCATCCTGGGCACCCTCAAATAGCTCTCCATTCTTCCTTTGGGTCTGTGGGGTCGGCCTAAGAGCGTAGACTTCAAGCTTCTTTGGTGGCCCGAAGCCTCTCCCTTCATTTACTCCCTTTCCCTGGCTCTGCTCTTTTTCCATTGGAGGCGACCTCTGGTACCGCCGACTTCCTCGACCAGCGAAGGGCTTGCCTTGCATGCTGGCTGCGATGATAGCTGGTGGGATGCGACGCGACCAACACCATATCAAAAAAGGCTTGTAAACGCCCACTTGCACTATGGCTGCCTGAAGTGCCAGAAACACAAGACAAGACGTGCTTATCTTTACCAGACACAGAAGTGTCAAGCGCGGGCGACGGAAAGACGAAGGTACCAGGGCGGGTGCCAATCGCTTGAAGATAGCGATGACGATCGCGGTTCCAACCTGTGCTGCTGGACTCCAATCAGGCTAGGAACAAATGACACGGAGGCGCTGTTTACGCACAGTATCCAGGAAGGTACATCTCGAAACAGCCACCAGAAAATAAGATTACGATACTGTAGGCACTGCAATGCTGTGGTAAACACCCCAAAGTCCGAGCAGGGCTTTGACATGAGATACTCAGGCGACGACAGGGGTCAAAGGCGCGACGATGATGAGGCCAATCGGAATAAACAGAAGAATGTCCTTCGCCGTGCGGCGCAGGACGTCGCACTCAACCTTGGAGAAGCCCAGAAACTTGCGTCGCCTGCTTTCCTTGTTCTGCAGGCTTTGCAGCAGAGCTGCTGAATATGCGACATCCTGACTTATCATGGAAACGCTGTCCACGACCTCCCGTACTTCCTTGCGCGCGATCGCAGCAGCGTAGCGGCAAATGGGCCCGATCGCAAACGCGGGCTTTGCCAGGTCTTCCTCCAAGCGCGTAGAGGTGCTGCAAGCAGTGAGTGTTTGCACGAACTCGACGAACTCGGGCTTGGTGACAGCACCATCTCTGTCGGAAGCTATCTGAAGGACGAGCCCCAATGCGTCCAAGAAAGGCTCGCTGCTTTTGCGACTGACCTCTTCCCAAAGTGGCCAAAGAATGGAAAACACTTCTCCATATGTCAGAGTTCCACTACCTTCGTCGAATTCCTCGAAAAGCTTCTCAGGTTCTCCTTGCGCCTTCTCCAGACGGAGTTCCTTCTGCTCCGAGTTGAAAGCACCTCCCTTTCCGAGCTGTCGCTGTCGGTCCTCTAGCCGCTGCCAGCCCAGGTAGGCTCGCCTCCGCTGTTTGGCCGCAATGGCTGCCCAAGCGCGGGCAAACCGTCGCCGTGGCTTTCTTAATGACGTAGGGAAAAGCGAATAAGGGGCGTTTGAATAAAGCAACATGCCCATGAGGATCTTCTGCCCATAAGTGCACTTGGTCAGAGCGATGGCACAGTACGGCAAGCACGCAGACAAGTCTTTGAAAGTCCGCTTTAGTATCGCACCCTCCATGTTGGAGAGCTTGTGTCTGAACGCAAGCTTCTTCAGCAGATGCACGCCATACCGCAGGTCGCGCAGTAGTGTAAACGCGCTGTCAGAGACGTCGCGGGCGAATCTTGTCACCTTGTTGTCGTCACGAAGAGCGCTGGCCTTGTAGTTGTTGGCAACTTCAACCAACGTTTCGATGTATTCGGTGAATTCGCCTAAAGTGAGGCAACCTTCACGGCGGCGGTCTACAGCAACCAGAAGCGTCGACCTGTGCAACAGGCACCCCCAATGATTGTGAGAATGGTCCATGCAAACATCTTACCCGAGTTGTATCACACTACCAGTAGCACCAACCGATCAAAGCTCGAGACGATGCGACACCAAAAGCGTCGCACATTGCCCTTGATGTGCAGCATTCGACCCGTCTCTAGGTGTCAGGCGCATCCATGCGAAAATCTTCCATGTTCTTCGTCGCAAGGTTCAGCTGTCCGCTCCATATAGCTTGCACAACGCTCAGCACACTGCCTAGCAAAGTCCAATCATCTGTGACCACAACACTGCTTCTGGGCTTGTTGGCTGCCTAAGCCCAGGGCTGTGCGAGACATTGCCACTTGCAAATATATCCAGATCCTGGCACAGCTCGCGCTTCCGAGAGCTTTAGTTCTCTTCTGCCCCGGCTTACTGCATTCCCGTGTGCGGGCAAGACGCTCAGTTTCCCGATCAATACTCCGTAGATACGTCATATCTTGTTCACCACACTTCCCAGCACCCTATAACGAATGGCCACAGGGCCCATTAACAGGACGAGGGTGTTAGGAAGCGGTAGCCGTGTGTTGACAAGGGAGTGGACTCAGCGAGCGCAACAAAGCGAGTGCAAGGAGGTTAGAGCTCCCGCGTCAACGCCTGGAAACTGCTTTGCTGTGCTCGAACATGACAGCGAGGCTTCGCAAGCTCTATCTCATGTGCATGATGCAAATAGTTCAACATAGTTCAACCAACCTTTCAAAAGCGGCAACTTAGACCTGCATGCCTCGAAGAGTTTTCGAATACCCGATTGCGCCGTTGCAGAATCTGGCGCAGCTTCGAAGACCTCCAGGACCGCCGCATCCAGCTCCTTCGAAGTAATTGCACTCTGAATCTTTGCCTGCTTTGTCCTTGTGTTCTGCCGACCCGGCCTCAGAGGGTTCCTCACCGTACAGCGTCCAGTCCTGGAGCAAATTCAGTCAAAAAAAAGTCAAGAGCAGGAGTTCCCGCACTCCTTGAAGTCTGGGTGCCGGCGCAACTCACGCCTCGCACTCAGGAAGTGGAGCCTCGAAGGGTAGAACGGGGACGGGAGAAGCGCCGGGGCCGACGACTTTATCACCAGAAAGAGGCAAACCTCGGTTCAGGAACACGCTCTGAGTCTATCAGAGTCTATCACAGAAGCCAGGTCAAGTTCTTCTCGAGAGTCCAATCAACCCCGTGCTCATCACACTAACTTGCTAACTTGCTAAACAATACGAACATGAAACCACGAACGGTCACACTTCGGTGAGCCGGACATGGGAAATCCAGAGCACGAACCGTCTGTTCAATTCACATCCGTCCATCAGCAAGGTCTGGAATTGACGCCTGGAAACTACCTGATGTGCACAATTTACGAAATTTATCTGCTGGAAACTTATCCTTGGAGTGCAGCTGTGCAGCGTGCACCGGCAACGGCAAGGGTAGAGCGCAGATCGCCGTTGAAGGAACCAGAGCGATGACATCACTGAAGAAACGCCGAAGTAAATGATTCTCCCACTCATGTAATTCTCGTCCCTGGCAGACTTTGGCCAGGAGACTGCAGCTGAACCTCCACAAGGGGCTGTCCAAACAGCCGTCGAAAAATGCATGCACAGCGCATTGCAAGGATGTGCGTTGCGAGGGTATGAGATATCGATCGGCACACGAATGCACACGACAAACAACATCAGCACATGCATTATCAAGGACTATGTGTTTTATGCAAAGACAGACAAACCGACAGACTACCTCAATCAACACGACCGATGATTCGAGCAATTTTTTAAGCACTCTGAATTGGAGCACAACCCAGGTCCCGAGCCGAAAGACAGTCATGCGTGACAAACCGGTACAGTGGGATCAGTGTCATCTAACAGAATCTAGCACAATGGATGCAATCCTTTAAAACTGACGGCGTTCACGAATATCTGCGAAACAATATTCAGATTCACAAACAGTCGAAATTAACAAGCACATTTGCCTTCGGTCTCTGTTCTTTGTGTATCGGTGCTAGCTGCGACGCCTACTTTTTCCTTGGTACCTTCCACATTGTCGAAGGCTTTCTCGTTCTTTTCCTCCGCATTGGAAGCTGTTTTGTAAGCCTCCTTGAACGCCTCCGGATCGACGACGATTTTCTGTCTCTCCCCAATGCCTTGGTCATGGAGAACTTACTCATCTTTGTCATCCTTGCTGGGGGAATTCTCTGGCATGGATCCCTCACCCGGTTGGGGAGGCTTCCTTAGCCATCTCGCCCTTCTGATGAGAGCCTTCGCACTTTGCGACCTTTACTCCAGATGCCTCTCCCGGTGGAGAGCTTTCTGGAGCGTCAGTCTCCATTGGTACATTGGTGGCATCTGTCTTAGACGAGTCAGCCATCAGCCATCCCGGTCTCACCCTGTGGTAAGTTCGCTGAATCGTCCTTGACATTGCCAGAAGTATCCATCGGAGCCTCGGTGGTGTCCATCGGCATCGGCTCGGAGATCTCCTCCACCTCAGGGCTCGGGAGCTGCTCGAGAAATCCTCCATTGCAATGTCATCGTACGGGTGGGTGTACAACTCCTCCAGCTCCGGGGCTCTCTTGGCCCTCAAGCTCTCGCAGGCGATGAGATCGGAGACTTAGCTTTCCGCGCGTGTCTGTGTTTTCCACTTGGACAGCAGGATCGCGGCCACGAAGGTTGGTCTGGTTCACGAGGCTTTGGGAACCATGTTTTCTGATGGCTTGTGCTATCAAGTCGATTTGATCGGTGGTGGCGCCTATTTTGTATCGGGCCACAAGGCGCAATCAAGAATGCATGGATATCAGGGGTGGCATGTATCAAAGCACCCTTGATTAGATTACTTCCTGGAGGCCTGGACGGAAAGCCCACAGTGTTTCCGAATGTGCCACTCTCGAGTTCAGCACGGCAAACAGTCTTTCTTTGTCTCTTCAAGCAGTGCGAAGACCAACTGGGCCGTCCTTACAAGGAGTGCACACAGCCTGACTGGAATACGTTTCCTACGTTGGATCCTTTGGTTGCCACTGTCTTGGAGTGGGGCCACTCGATGGGCGACGAACAATGGGCTCCAAGCTCCTTCTGGTCAGCTGGGAATACAAGGTCAACGTCTCCAAATGGCTTCTGAATACCACCTCGGCGGCCTACCTCCTGTCAGGCCGGGCCTATAGCGCTCACACTCCTCTTCCACGCGAACCAGTACACTGGTGGGAGGATGAGAGCGATGAGCCGCAATCCCGAAACGGTCAAGGAGGCAGCCGATAGACGAAAGGCGACACAGAAGGCTAACAAGGCTCGTGGATCTGCTGATCCTACACAGCCAGCACCTGCTGGAACAAGCTCTCCACAGGGAGAGGGAATTTCTGGTGCGACAGCCTCTGGTTCGCAATGTCCAGCCGAACCCACGCGACCTCCTGGTGGAAAACCAAAGCGTGGCAAAGGAGGCAAGTCCTCCAAAGGGCAAAGGCAAAGGCAACGGAAATAACTGACTAGATCCTGACTCCGAGTCGGAACAACTGGTCTACGGACCAATGCCTCGAGATCCTGTTCGGCCCGATCCTTTCGCACCTGCTGTCATCTTCGAAATTGACAACTATCGTAGGTTTGGCGATGGGGCTCGTTGCCGTAACTGGGATCATGATGCTGATGTGATTGATTAAACTCTTTCACGGAGAAGGTATCCTTCTCTACTGCCTGCCACTTCACGTGAAGATGCTTTCTCAGCAAAAGGGACTTCCGAAAACATATTTGCCCAGAGAAGGCCAATGAGATACTGCTCACTGGAGAAGATACTCTAATCGGATTCATACGCGATTCTCTCGAGCCGCAATTGATCGCTGGCACCACATGGGGCTACGCTCTACATTTCTGTGCAGCAAGCTTTCCATCTGGAGAGGAAATTGAACATGTGGGCAACATTTCAAACAAGAGCTTCAACCGAAGATCCGTTTGCGTTTTGTGTGCGTGTTCTGATCATTTCACAAAGCTGTCGCCAGGCTGAGGATGCACAGGTTCTCGCAAGTCACTGTCGTAGCTCAATGTATTACTTCGCTCGTAACTCGCTTGGACAATGACAGGCAATGTAGAATGCCGACTTCACGGCCATGCAGCTCTACGTGTTTCAAATTGTGCCTGGTTGAAACACTGAATGCTACCCATCCAGGTGCCTGTCTGTTTCATGTGTCAGTTGCATGTATCCATGCCTGTTGCTCAAGGTTCTATCAGAGTACTGATCACAGCTGTGCGCCTGTAGCAAAAAGCGACACACGCATTTGCCTGTGCTTTTGTATAACGCCCAGGTTACATCCCAGGTGGGGGCATAGCTTTGTATCCATCTGTTTATTTATTTTCCTATTCATCTATCTATGTGTCTGTCTAATCTATCTATGCATTATCATTGCCTGTTTGCCTGCCTCTGTGTGTGTATGTATGTATGTATGTATGTATGCATGTATGTATGTACGTATGTATGTATCCCCACATATTTCATACTGACACATATACACAACATACAACACGCACAGGTTTATGCAAGCATATATGGCACACACTGTATAACTCCAACTCCCATATTTGCAGGCGTTGGTTTTTAAGCTTGTGCTTACTTCTGTGCACAGGAAGCAAACAGACATGCACATGCACACTTGCTATGCTCCGTCGTAAATGTCTTGAGGCTCGTGCCCGAAAAGGCTTGAAACGCTTAAACAAGGCAATCAACCGCGTGACTGCGCCTTACATCTCTGCTCAGCATGTCAATGCTGTCCGACACTTCCAGCAGTGCTTGCCCGACTTTGCCTTAGCTTGAAGGCCCTCCAACAACCATTCAAACATGAGTATGCATACCTAGCAACTGGACTCCTACCATAGAAACAGAATCGTACTAAGCTTCCTTCAAGAAGCTGAGCGCACTGAGAAGAAACGGCAGTGTAAGTTGCCATGTCGGCCGCTGTACCCACCGATTCACTGCACCACCCGCCTTGCCCACGGGGTCAAAGGAATAGTTCGTCACGTTTTGGAAAAAGCTGCTCATAATACCATAGCTTCGGCGAAGGACCACCTGCCAGTAGTGTGGTCTCGGGAGTGGGAGGGGACCTACTGGCGGCCTTTCGCAAGGAGACACCCGGGCACCTCAACATGCCATGCATGCACATCCCGCTTGGACACGCTGATCACCGTAGCAGCGTATTCAATGAATTCGTTGACTGACAGCATGCCATCCCTGTCACGGTCTGACAGGATAACGAAAGCCGCGAGGTTGTTGTGCAACTCCATCTGCGTCTGTGATGGGAGTTTCAACGGACCTTCCCATAAAGTCTGCCTCAGTGACGTTTCAGGCCATTCGCACTCTGCGTGACAGATTTGCTTGAATGCCCCTGCATGTCCTGCTAAAGCTAGGGTAACCGAAGCTCCCATAAAGCTTCGGGCGGCATAAATTTGAGAATCCTTGCATAGCTCAGGCCCAGGGTGGCGTTGTCACTTAGCCGATCGAAGAGGGCAGCTGCCTGGGAGCGCGCTGCTGAATAGAGCGGCGCCTCTTCCAGGATTTCCAGAAGTGATGCATTGGCCCTAAGCTCCCCGTTCCGGCCCTTCCCTCGCTCTGCATCTTCGCTCTCCGGCGGGGAGGTGAGCTCGGAGGCATTCGCAAGCAAAGGCTGCAAGGGCTCGCTTTGACTGGACATCGACTCTGCAGCCTTTGACTGCGCCCTCCAGGATCGTCGCTCCGTTCGGCCATCCATTGGTGCTGTGAAATTGCAGGCATGATGGAGCAGCAACGCGACGACGAAGAAAAGGAGAACATGGCTCAGGGGGCGATGCAAGCGCTTTCTCATCACCAAACACACAAATCAGACCCGAGTCAACTCTGTCCTGTCTGTCCATGAGCTGCAGTCTTACTTGGTTTCCGATTGGCTTTCTAGTCTGGTGTTGGCCAAACGTCTAGTTACGGTTTGGCAAGTGTCCATGTGCGCACTAGCTTAGATCATGTCTGGGCTCGTCTATGCAGCCCTGCGATTCTTGGTGCCGATGCAAGGGGCATGAACGTTGTAGATTTGAGTAAGCCGGAAACACTGGCTGGGGATGGCAACGTGAAACACAAGCTTCTGCTGCAGGAAATTGCTCGGCCAGCGGCAAAGCTTCTCGCCAGCTCTGCGCGAAGAACCCTCACCACAGCATAGGTTTCCAATGCCTTACAGCCAGGCATAGCAGCTATGCTGTAGCTAAAGTGAGGCTCCCTTGCCAGTCCTGGTATTGAGGCTCCTCAGCATGTGCAAGTCTTACCACGTCCATGAGTCGATACTTTTCGTTTGCATGGGTGCTACAGTGCGCTTTGGCAAAGTGTCACGTGATGTGAGCGTACCTTCTGGTTTGGCGGTCACAGGCAGCACGAGCAGGGGAGGGATGCTGCAGAAGGTCTGCCAGCAAGAGCATCGGCATCAGCATTAGGTGTGGCCTTCTCAGTGGTAGTTCGGATTGTGGCTGCCTGAGCTTCACCAATATATAGTAGGATCGCTGGTCGGCATGCTTTCCTAGGTGCTTCCTGTGCGTGAAGGTCAAAAGACTGTCGACGTGGTCGCAGCAGCACGTAAGGCTCGTAAGGACCAAAGGAACGTCAAGGACTTTGGCATCTTTGCGGAAGTATGCGGAAGTGCTGCTGCTTCACCCTGGGAATTCAACGAACATCATCGAACAAGTTCAATGATTCACTGCAACTTTCAGACCCCCTTCATGGGCTCGCCGTGCCCGGTACACCAGGTACTTTGGCTACCTTGGCCCAGGCAATGCCTTGCACTGTGTGGAGAGTGATCGTCGAAGTGTCCTTGGATTCGATCTGCAATAAATCCGCGTAGACGTCTGCCCATTGCTTGTGCCGCTTAGAGCCGGGTTCAAAAAAGACCTTCCGACTTTCGTCACCCAGCCCCAGCCCCTGTGGTTCAGTGCTCCCCACTGGCGATGCTTTCACCATGTCGAGGAGGAGCCGACGGCATCGACTTATCGACTGCATCGCTCGAGCAACTTCGCGATCCAAGTCAGTCAAGGATTTAGTGCCGGCATTTCTTCTCTCAGCGTCAAAAGCAGCTACTGTCGCCTCGACGCATCGTGTCAGAGCCTTTTGGAGACCTCTTGGGGTTGAAGATCGCTGCAGCGACCCTAGAACCTGCCGAGCATCTCGTGTCCGGCGCTCTGTCGCTCGAGCAAGCTCAAGACTTGCATCTGCTTCCCGTCGCTGAATGAATGCTTGGAGCGCTCTCCGGTGCATTTTCTTGGCAGTGATGCGAAGCACGGCAGCTTGGGCTTGGAGCTGTAGGTCAGTCCTCTGCAATAACCTTTGCTCTTCCATGATTTCCGGATGCTAAGCTGTCTTCTCAACCTTGTCCTCGGCCAAGCGAAGAAAATTACTTGCACTCTTCCAGTTCTGAGGGTTGGTGTCGCGGCCACGGCCTCCAAGCTGAGGCGGTTGTGCTTGGTCGACAGTGACATCGGCTGCTTCTTCTCTCTGCACCGTAAGCGAACCACCGACATCTTGCGTTCGGTGCTCTTGAAGCTTGCTCGCCGCATCCAGGGCATCACCTGTCTCTTCTGCACCGGGGCCGTCAACCGTAGTAGTAACCTCTCGACATCGTGGGTTGTCCGCTGAGAGCGCCGCTTCTGCCTTCGATGCCTCTTGGCTTTGCAGTTGAAGCTCCCGGGCTGATCTCGACACGTTCTCAAGGAAAGATGAAAGAAACTCTTCGCTGGTATCTGCATCAAGCAACTCACGTTCGTCAGTTGCTTCTCGCGAAGACGAATCTGAGTTTTCTGCGGTGGCATGCAGTATCGCATGGAGATGTTGTTGAAGGGCATGTGAGGTGTCGCCTTTCTTCTGCATTCGCACCGCTACCGCAGCCCGTGCACCATAAGCTCTCCCCGTGTCCGGCTTCGGCAAGATCCCTTCTGCCACACGATGCAGCGGCTGATGTGATGCGCTTGGAGAAGGCAGGTCTGGCATTCTGGATTGCAGTCCTTGGTCCGCTGCTTTGTGCTCGATCTCAGGGCTGCTGGCCATAGCAGATGTCGCCGCTGCCAAGTGTGCACCAGCAGAAAGAAATAGCTCCAGATGGTCTTGGAAGCAATCGCTACTTTCCAGTTTGGGCGGCGTCGAGTCTGGTGGACCATACATTGCTGGGTCTGGTGGAATTTGGTGCTTCAAGGCTTTGCTGCATGGCAGTCCATCTTCGACTAGTTCCAAGCTGGCCATACATTCAGCACAGCGGCACCCGAGGCCATACCTCTCCGAGCCTCTTGCCCAGGTCACGATCTCCGAGGTATTGCTCAAAGATTCAGACATCCGGTGCTGAGTGCTGTAAATGCCAAGCACGGCCAGCTTGCGCTGAAGGCTCGCAGCCCGAATAGCCGATGTCTTTTCTGCTCGTTCCAACTCTCCGCTCAGCACCGTGAACTTCTTGCCGCAGTTGGATTCGATGAAGGTGTGCCTCAGCTCTCCAACGCCACCGCAAGTCTAGAGCTCTGTCGGCTTCTCGCTGCAACTCGGGTGCAAGTGGTGTGCCAGTTGTGTTGCGCGATTCGCGCGACCGAGGGCCCCCAGTGCATCATGTGCATCTTGCAGATCCTGCGGCTCCCAGCTGCCAGAGCCCCATGCCATGCAAGTGCATGTGCAAAGAGCCAAGGCAAACCGCCTCTATCATTGCCGCATTGTGCACAGAATCGCAAGCCGACAAACGGCTTCGCAACAAAACTCCAAAGGCTGGATGCAATCAGTTTTCCAACGACACCGTACATCAAACAACCTGCTGGAGTCGCTGCTGGAGCAAAGGACTTTCTCGGCTCCCTGCTGTCCCTGGTGCACATTCACGAGCCTGGTTCAGACAGGCAGGGTGGCAGTGTGTCGGCAAGGCTTCCGGCCACCTCAATCTTTGAGGAGGGTCTTCGCAACAAATTCGGATGGGCGCCTGGGAGGGCAGCGCACAAACACACACGTACACGAAAGAGCAGCAAAGGTACAAGTCACTTTTCAAATCACTTTTCCCTTGCATCACCTGTTGTAGGCCCCGGTGGTGGCGGAGGGGCATGGGTGCAGCCCATGACCTCTTCATCAAGAATCGTGGGCTCATTTCGCAGGTCCCAACAGTCCCAGCTTGCCTGTTCGCAGCTTCCGCCTGGCGCCCGGCGCCGGACAAGAAGCCCACGTCTGAGCTGCGGAGAAATACCAGTAGCTCTCTTGAGAGCTCTTCGTTCTCATGTGCCTCAGATTTCCTAAAGACGTCCCAAAGACCCGCTTTTTTCTCCGAGGTGTCTCCCGTGTAACCTCGATGGACTCCCTTTGGGAGTACATCAGCACATGTACAAGTTCGCCCGCGGAAGCATAATCTCGTATGCCGCACAGACGGTTTTGAAACAAGGAAACATTACAACAATCTGTGCCGATTCGACCTTTGTGTTGATCACTCCTCCTCGTCACCTTCAGGAATTGCAGGACTCACGGCCTCAGATTGAGGACGCGATGCGGCAGCAGCATTGCAACGCCCGTAGAACTTTCAGAAGGGGTGCCATCGGCCTCTTCTCCTGCTTCGAGCCGAACATCCCCTCCACCCTCGGGGACATCTTGTCAAGGGACTTGTAGAGCACGTGCAGACATCTTCAACTAAGTTGCTTGGGCGAGTTGTCCTCAACCAGCTGTTGCTGCTCCTTCTCCTTCTCTTTGAGCATGGCTTCGACTTCGCTGATCTCGTCTGCAGGCCTCACTGCACTAAGCAGGCGTCAAGTGCACACAGTGCTTCGACAGACAGCCATGACGGCAGGCCTGGCTAGCTCGGCCTGCACAATGTCAACATCGGTCTCGAATCTGTCCGCATCCAATGGCTCGGATTCAGCAGCCCCATCGCCAGATTCGCTCTTCAGCTTTTCTTTGCGCATTGCCTCTACCTCACTTGCCGCCTGCTTTTGCCTGCCGGCGTACAGGCATAAACTGCTGAAACAAGAAGCCCAAAAAGCAATAACGACAGCACCGACCGCCTGAACTTGGCTTGGATTTTGGTGGCAGCTTGCGCCGTCTCGTCGTCCACGGGGATGTCGATTTCATTGTCCGCTTCACTGTGCATCTGTTCCTTCTCCTTGCGCTTGGCGTCAACCTCACCTGCCGCTTGCTTTTGCCTGCCGGATGCTTGCATGAACTGCCGCAACCACAAAAGAGAATGATGACAGCACCGACCGCCTGAACTTGGCTTGGATCTTGGTGGCAGCTTGGGCCGTCTCGTCGTTCATGGGGATGTCGATTTCATTGTCCGCGGCACTGTGCATCTGTTCCTTCTCCTTGCGCTTGGCGTCAACCTCACCTGCCGCTTGCTTTTGCCTGCCGGATGCTTGCATGAACTGCCGGAACCCACAAACGAGAAACATGACAGCACCGACCGCCTGAACTTGGCTTGGATTTTGGTGGCGGCTTGCGCCGTCTCGTCGTTTGTGGGGATGTCGATTTCATTGTCCGCTTCACTGTGCATCTGTTCCTTCTCCTTGCGCTTGGCGTCAACCTCA